CAGACAGTTCTCCAGGCATAACTGCAATCTAAAGTGTTATCTGCTTTGCAATAATCCAGAGATTAGTCAGGGGTGCTCCTAGGTGTTTATTCCACAAAGCACAGTCTACTCAGCACTTTTCAGGCCTAGTAAACATCCCCGGAACTGCCTTCAAATCCTGACTTACTTGCTAGGTCCTGCTGGTGGCACCAGGCTATGGGGCACATCAGAGAGAAAATACACCTAGCCGGCTCTGCAGCTGCTTCGCATGGGTCACTCTGCCTAAGTGTGAACCTAGTGCCTTTTAAATAAATGGGTTTTATTTAAGATGCCATTTAAAAAACGTTCCCTGTTTCTTCATGAAAATACATAAATGTCAGAAATTTAAAGTGCCCAAAGGTGCCTGGATGGCAGATAAATAAAATAAAATAAATAAAAATTGGCTAAAATAAATGCTACTTAATAAGACACAAACATACTAGAGTCTTAGAGGAAGGAAAAATAGGTGCACTGAAATTTACCAATTTGGCCAATATTTTCTTTAAAAACAATACACATGTCCAAGTTTCCTTTTGACTTTCCCAGGCCCCATTTTGTATTTTGACATGCAAAAACAATAATACAAAAAGTGTCATTTTACTCTTAGGTACACAGTTGGCATGAGGAATATAAACAACATCTTTATCCTAGAGCCACACTACTACCACAGCACTGTATAGAACTTACCCACCCCAAGTCACAAAAAGGCAAATTGTGAAATCAATCTTTGCCTACACTGACAAAATTAAGACTTCGGATAGCGTTTATAAGATTTAATTCTGCTCTTAATTGGTTTAAAATTACCATGTCATGCCTGCCTATGGTCTGTGTGGGGCATTTGTACAAGGCCATTTTTACTAGATTTCCAGACATCTATATGATTTCTGTTGGAGGAAAATTGAGTAAATAAGGACACAGGACTCCAAAGTGGTTGAAATTAGAAAAAGTGATACCGCAGGTGTAGCTTAAAAACGAACTAAGCCAGCTGAGGCAGGAGGATCACACAAGCCCAGCCTAGGCAAACCAACCGACCAACCAACAACATAACTGGCTGAATATCATAAAAGATCCAAGGGAGTGGTAGTTCATTTCAGATAAGAACTAACAGCTATATGTGGCCTGGAATGGGGTACAGAGGGCAAATAAAAGAAGGAAAACAGTGCCAAGTCCAAGTCGGGTGTGGTGAATGGCACAGACCTTAATCCCAGCACTTGGGAGGGTGAGGTAAGAGGAGTGCTGGGAGTTCAAGGCTAGCTTAAATTATACAGAGACCCTGTCTCAAAAACAAACAAACAAAATAAAAGAATGCTAAGTATGGAACAAGTTCCAGAAAGAAAATAATCAACAGAATTTTATTTTATTTTATTTTATTTTTGTTACCAAGGATTGAACTCAGGACCTCGTGCTTGCGAGGCAGGTGGTGGAACCATTGAGCTAAATCTCTGGCCACCACCAGAACATTTAATGGTGAGATTTATTTCAGAGTCTTTTAGATACCCTCAACTTTTCAGTTTATAGAACCAGACTGAAAAAAAACATGTCAATATCTGGAAGAAAATTTGCATTAGTATCAGTTAACACCATTCTTATTTTTAACTTCTTGATTGATGCAACAAATATTTATGCAATAGGTATGTGCTAGCCTCAGCATAAAGTGTTGATCAATTTTAATGGAATTGAGGTTTTCAGAGTGAGTGACAATAAATAACTGTCACATAAATAATAGTAGTGTTACAAACTCATTAATGCTATAAAGGAAAGGTGCACAATGTCTTGGGAGACTTTAGTCTCCCTGGTAGGGCTAGAGGTTTTCCGGAAGCATGAGGACTAAACTGAACTCAGAAAGGCAGGCAGGAAAGTGGGCAGGACTTAAGAAGGAGCTAGGCAAATGTGTCACTGCTATCACTGAAATCTTGATATTTAACATCTAGGATTACAACATTTCTCTGAACATTTAGTTCAGGACTCATTGAGTTTTTATATAGTAGTTGTTTGCTGGAAAAGGGAATTCAGGTACTGGTGATCCTTGACTAAGCAAGACTGTCCCCAGCAGAGACAACAGAGCTCGGTCAAAAAGTGGCCATGTCAGGAATACGAAGATTTTACTGGCAGTGGATGGCATCACTACCACTGTAAGACTGAACCATACACTGTTCTAATCTCTGGTTTTGCACATGTTTACAAAATTCAGTCTAAATGGCTGTAACTAAAAGCCTTTGAAAGGCAAGAATTTCTGAAAAGATTATTATTTCATATCTACTTCCAAACTACACTAATTTGTCTCATTTTTTTGTTTCAAATCACAGCAAGGCTAACATGTGCCGGAAATACCAGGTATCCCCTTCTCTGAACCACAACCAACCTGTCCGAAAAAGGCTCTCCTTTTACCTTCCGGGCCCCCATTTGAGAGCAAACTTAACAGTCCGGGTAGGAGAACTAAATCTAAGATCAGAAAAAATCGGAGAGCAGGTGAACCCTGTCTACCAATTGAAGTCAAAGCCTGATACATTTCCTTCTTCAGAGAAATATATTTAGGAAAACATTAAGGAAACTAATAAAGACAGGAAGTGAAGCAAAGAAAAATTAAAAAGCTATTGCTAGGAGGTGTTTGGAGACAATCCTTCCTGGACTGTCAACTGAGATGCAGAGCCAGGTTCAGACCTGGAAGCTGGATGCTGGCCATTGGTGGCAAAGCTGGACCTGGAACAGGGCAGCTGCCTGCTACCCAGAGCTCCAGTGACAGGTAGGCCTTTCAGCCCATTGCTGATGTGAAGCAGAATGTTAACTGCTCCTGGTTAGGTCAGCTCTATGGCAAGCAGCCCACCTAACTGTCCACAGAAGACAACACTGCCCCCATATTTCAGTACCATTTAATAAATTACCTCTCCTGACCTGGCTTAGTAAAAACACCTTTCATAAGTGGGTTGTCAAAGCTGTGTTTACTCACTACATAAACACATCTAGTTTATATTCACAGCATATTATGTAAAGATTTTATGACAAATCATGAATCAACAAAGTTTATTTTGCTAACATTAAGAAAGAAAAAGTGTTTTTCTTGTACAGTATCATGCATATAAAAACAATGCTAATTGAAAACTAGACCTAGTACAACTTCTGATGTCCTAATTAAAAGGTACAAATGCTAATTACAAATTACTTTATCACGTTAGCAAAGCAAGAGTGCTATATAAACTTTAGGTAGCATTTTCGTAGTTTTGTATTTGAACCAATTCCACAAGAAAACATGTAAAAGTCAATATATTATTTTTAAAAATCAAAGGTTTAAACACAACAATATGCTTTAAAAAGAAATTAAAATTAAGTAAAGTAATTTGGTTCTCAAGAGTCAGTCAATTGAGTCAATAAAGGAAAAAATCTAGAAATTTGATTCAAGTTCTAATTCATAAAATGTCTCTTTCATGCATGAATAAAATGAATTTGATAGCACTGACCCAATTATAGGAAAGCACGGGTAGAGACCATCTAGTGGGCAATTATAAAGTATGAATGCATTTACAATACACACAGATCATATTAGCATATTCACTATTTAAATATTTGGTTCTCTGAGTTTCTGCACATTTAAAAAACAAAATTGTCTCATCAACATGGGATTGCATCTAGAGACCTTGCAGTAACATGATTTACAAATAAAAATCCAATCTGCTATTTTTTTCTTTTATTCAACTTCAATATGACAAAGAAGTACAAAGCAGACACTTTCACACATCAGTTTTAAGTTGTATGAAAAGCCTATTCTGAATAATAAAGACAGTTAACACACCCTTAAACATGCAATTACTTGAATATTTTGCAAGAAATTTTCAGGAGCCCTTAGAATTCAATTGTCAGCTTTCTTCAGAAACTAAACATTTTTCTCAAACTTTAAAGCTCCAAAGCAAGGCAAAATGAAGATTTCAAATTCAAATGGATAGTATTTCAAAGTGTTTCTATCAGTTCCTTGGTAAACACACCCAAAAAAATGACATATTAAAAACTCTTAGAGGATGCTGCTCACTGATCATTATTCAAAATTTTCCGAATTGCATTTTTCATATGCATGGTAAATTTCCAAGCCAAAGGATTATGAAAAACATCAGTGCTTAGATTCAAAGTTTGCTGTGTTTTTAAAAGCAATCCTTTTGCCCTTCTTTTTTTCAACATGTCACTGTGAGATTTAAGTCTCTTGTATTTCAGCAATAGATATTAAACATCACCTTCCTAGGCTAGCTCATCTTTGAGAAAAGTATTACAGTCAGTCCAGAGGAGAATGCATTTTTTGTGTGGAAATGGAGACCACATACTTCAGTTGTCTACCACTACTGGTAGGTAGAGTTTTTCCTTTCCTTTCTCTTTTACAAAACAAAGAAGAATTCAACATTATGCACTCAACAAGCATGAGCAGTACATCTGTGGGGTTAAATTCAGTTACAGTGGCCTTCAAAGAATTCTTTTATTAAGTTTTCATGAAACTTAAAAACTCTGAAAATTGTGCATGAAGCCAGACAGTTCTCCGCTACACACTGTAATCTGACACTAGGCTGAAGAAGTTGACCAAGTTTAAGTAACCCAAGAGGAACTGTTTCCTGCTTTCGGTTAGAACAGTCTACAGTGACCTATAGTAACACAGCTGAGGCGAGGTTACTATCGGGCATTAGATGTTGCTATCAGGAAATCAGTCATGGGTTTTTTTTTTCTTTTTTGTTTTTGTTCATAAGAATTCAACCTTGTTCTCCAATTAAGTTTGTAAAGACAAGAAAAACCAAATGAAGAGTTTGGAAACGGCACCCAGGCCAACAGTGCAGATATCCCTTCACCTCAACAAAAGGGCCCTGGTACACGCTGGAAACAAACTAAAGTTAAGGGGAACTCCCTCTACACAAAGCAAACGCGCCGAGGAACATCTCCAGAGGTCGCAAAAGCCCCTTCTAAATGGAATCAAAGGTGCGTTTAATACTGGTTTATTTCCCTCACTTTACCTCGTCTGCTCCTGTAAGATGAGGTGAGGCTCCACGAAGAACTTGACCCTCAGTTTGAGCCGGTATGGCGCTAGCCCATCCATCTGCTGGGAGATCCGGTTTCTCAGATTTAGCCATAAACTTTCTCCTTTGCTACCCGTAAACTGGAGTCCAAAATAATCAACTTCTATGATCCCCAATCGCCTGCACACCTAAGACAAAAATGAATGCAGGATGGATAAGCAAACAGTGCACTCAGTCGCAGTCAGGGCAAACCCAAGGGCTCCATGTGAGTGTAAGGTAACCCTCTTTCTTTATACAATTGTAGCGTCTTACACCACCTGCTGTAAGCTGGGAAGACAAAGTTCTAGGCTCCAGCGATGCTAAAACCTAGGTCTGATATGGAGACTTGCCCTTCCTTGAATATCTAGGGCAAGACCAATACCACAGAGAAAAAGAAGTCCCCACAAGTAGCCTTCAGGAGAGGCCGAGAAGGGAAATCTACCAGGTTCTCTTTTTAGTCCAATCACTGGAATTCCCTCCAGCTGATTTGGCAGCTTGTTTTCTGGACAGTTTTAACCATCTGGACTCCAAACAACAAACACATTGGGAAACACGCCACAAGTGTCAGCCAAGCTTTAGGAGCGATTCTCCAAACATTCCAGGTCTAAAGGATCCGAGTGCACAGCGCTTCACGGATCTCATCTGGTGTCTGCCATACCAACTGTGCGTGCACGCCCTGTTTGGAACCCTTCTTCACTCTTAAGAAAACGCACGCTTCAAGACAACCAAGGAGTAGAAAACCCAAACCTACAGTACCCTCGTCCCAGGCAAATCCAAAAGGCAGCTGCACAATTCGGTCCCTCTGAGAAACAGCATGAGTCTCGGGCCGGCTTGTCTGCCGCGGACCCCGGGGCCCACGACTGCTTCGTGCCACCCATCCTGGGACGTGGGTGGCGCTGCCGGGCCTCTCCGGACCCCCCGAGTGGCATCACGCACACACCTGCAGCAGG